GTTTATTGGGCCTTAAATACCTATTTACATGCTTATTGGGCCTTGTGTTCTCATTACATGTTATTTGGGCCTTATAGGCCCATTGATTTTCTTATTGGGCCTCACAACACATTTTATGTTAATCGGGCCAATAACAAACAATACTCGACACTTTGATAAAAACAAATGGTATTTTCATCACCAATGTTTTGTAATCAAATGCATACTCGAAACATTATTTTAAAACGGTAAACAATGTGATACACTGTTCGCGTAATTTTAGTTAAGGTTCTTGTGAGACACGCCTTCATCCGTACCTACCTAGTGTACAACCTTAAGTCCTGTAGTTATAACTACAACCAGAGTCTCCTGGAGGGAGAGCGAGAGTTTGTGTATAAATCTATACGGGATTGACAACCCCACACCTGCGCTGTTCGCTACAGCTAGACTAGGCCTGTCTAGGGTGACAAATATCTTACCTTAAACAAGCGACGCCTAAAAAACGTCATGACAAACATATCAGTCACATCAAGCATGGTTATAACGACTCACATAGAGATTACCAAACACTATAAACTTTATGGAATACATATACTTTAATGCTGATACGAAACCATACAAACACCATTTTTCGGTCTTAGGGTTTTAAGACTACAACACTTTTACAAGTAGAAAATATCAGATTTTCTGAGAAAATACATTATACATTACATTTTACTTACAATAGAAAATATAGGATTTTCTGGAACTCTCTCTTTATACATTTTCAAAAATATGAACACACATGTTATAATACAAGATTTGAAACAAAACTCTTAAACCATTTTTACGGAAAATATCGGATTTTCTGGTGTTTACAAATGATACAAAACTTTTTACACAAACATGCTTATGAACTCACCAACATTATATATGTTGACGTTTCAAAATAACCTGTATTCTCAGGGACTCGTTAAGCAGGTCGGTCATCAAGAACATGTGGACTTTTGTTGTATTTTTTTTTTGTTTCCATCATACACTTAATATTTTGGGATGTAATATGTGATACAATACTTGATGTAAACAATGATGGTTTTTATATTTTATGTACAATGATGATGTTGTCTTTGATTCATTTATATACACTGTGATGATATTACAAGATGAAGTCACCCGCCCCCGGACGTTTCCGCCGTTCTGGTTCGGGGGTGACATAGATACAGATGAAGTTGGAGAAATTTTAAAGAATGAAAAAACTCACAAAAGTTCTCATCTTCTCGGCAGAAACAAGTGGAAAAGAAACAACACTGAATAAGAATACGACAACCAATAACAATGTCGATGCCATATGAATAAAAGGAAAACGATTCTGAAACCACCTTCTATCAGAGGGTTTTTCGAGCCTTAGAAATTTCGCACCTAGGGGAAATTGTTTGGTCGCCAAGCACTGTTAAAGCCCCTTGTTCTCCGATCCATAAAGTTGGTGGTTCTACGGTGTTGTGAGGTGGTGCTACTGCTCTGGTGGTGTCGAAATAAGGAGAGGAGAAGGGTTTTCGAGTCCGTGAAGAGAGAACGAGATGATTGGTGGTTCTAGACGATGATTTTTAGAGAAAGAGGGGGAATCGGTGGTGGTGTTATAGGTTTATGAAACTGATAACCTAAATTAATGAAATATTAATTGATTTTGTTTTCTTTTACCATAATTAATTATAGTGTAGATTACTCTTATACCCTTTTATTATGTATTAATGATTTAATTATTTCCTGAATTCTCATTGGTGCATACATGCACATAATAGTTGCTAGAAATATTTGAACTTAGCTCTCTCTCTCTCTCTCTCTCTATATATATATATATATATATATATATATATATATATATATATATATATATATATATATAGAGAGAGAGAGAGAGAGAGAGAGAGATAGGTTCAAATGTTCCTGACAACTATTGTGTGCATGTATGTACCAATGAGAATTCAGGAAATAATAAAATAATTAAATAAATAAATAAGGGTATAATGGTAATGTTAGTATATTTAATTATGGTAAATGAATAATTCAATTAATATATCCTAAAATAAGTGAATAAACACTACAAAACTTGCATCCCTTTATCAACGTGAGAAGTTTTTCTCCATCCCTCCTTCATTCTCGTTCCTATTATGGTACGACTGCGAAGAAGATCTTTTGGCTGCCATTTCAAAAGTTGGGGATGTAGTATCGGGATTTATGGAAAAGGTGAGCCTTGTTCTCTCATTATTATAATTTCTAGTTTTTTTTTTTTCTGTAAATCTATTTGTTTTTTACATGTGTTTCAACCGAGGTTTTCAATCAGTTCTTACACCTGTTTTTTTACATGAATTTTGGCTTGTTTGATGATAATGCCTAACATGTGTTTGTTGAAATGACTGAAAGAGAATATAAAAAATATAACCATGTGGTATGCATTCTGTCAGAATTACTAGCAATGAGTGTTTTAATTCTAGTTTTCTTTATGTAAATCTAATTGTTTTTTACATGTGTTTCAACTGAGGTTTTCAATCAATTTTTACACTTGTTTTTACATGAATTTTGGCTTGTTTGATGATAATGCCTAACAAATGTTTGTTGAAATGCCTAAAAGAGAATCTGAAGAATCTAACCATGTGGTATGCATAGAATGAATAGCTTTTTGCATTTTAATATGGAAAAGAAAGAAAACATGGTAAATGATAGTGTAAGAATTGATTGAAAACCTTTTAGCAAAGCATTATGGGGATGATTTCTAACCCTAAACATGACTTTGGGGATGAAGGAAAAAGAAACCAGATTATGGGGTTAATTTCTAACCCTATAGTTTGGTTGAAACTTTCTTTTTTTGTTTATGTTTTTAGTTTTCTTACTAACAAGAAATTTGAAGGCTTTTGCTCCAACAAGAAATTCAAAAAATTAAAAGTATAATTTTTATGTACAGAGCAGTGGTCTTGATTAGATAATTACCATAAATTTTTTATTATGGGTGTATCTGACAACAATTCTGCCAGAATGGAAGATCAAGTTCTAATTCTGTCAGAATGGAATCTCGATTTTATGGCATGGAACCTCAAATTACTCGTTAGTATTTGAAGGTATACACTCTTTTATTGTAAATTTAGTCAGATTCATGTCTTTATTAATTACATATGTTGTATGTTTCATCAAATGGAGTATAAAGATCTGAGCATCCGATTTTGTCCGCCAATTGTTTGCTAAAATGTTTGAATCAAATATTTCAGCCAATTTTTTTTTGTAATATTTGAACTATCATATCTCTCTCATACTAGCTTGGAATGATTTGAAATTTTTTTCTGCATGTTCTTCTTTGTGTTAGCTACAAGTTAGGTTCTGAAGTCATTTTAATTGGATTAATATTGACTGAGTTACAATGCTTCGAACATTGGATGTTACAGCTATATTTGTAGCACTTTTACTTTGTTCAGAAAATTTGTGATCTTTGAACTGTCATATTTCCCACATTCTTGCTTGTAATAATATGACCTTTTCCCAACGTATTGTCCTCTGTGTTAGCTACAATGTAGGCTCTAGAATCATTGTAATTATATTAAGTCGATTATTTGGATCAAGTGACTCGGGGAATACTTGATCAAGTGACTCGAGTATTACATTTTGTTAGAATAAATTAAAAGTCTTTAATGTCTAACACATTCTATTAGAATTTATAGTTTTATTCTTTTAAAATATACTAAAAGTTTTAATATTTTAAAGTTGATTATGTTTTCTTTGTGGATATAGATTTTGAAGAGGCTGTCATTGATGTGGAAAAAGAAGAAAACATGAAGAACGAGAGTATTCTAGCATAATGTATTCTGCCAGAATGTATAAAGTGTTTTTGTTAGATTTTTATGTTTTTATTTTTATTTTTTTAACCATTATTAGTTTTAATCTTTAAGAATAAATGTAATTCTTAAACCATTAGTAATCATTTCTTTTTCAGAATGAATGTACTAATTGTTTAGTCTTATTCTTTACGCATTAATGTAATTAGTGATTTTTAAAAAATAAAATCCGTATTCTTTAGAAAATGATATTCTTCATAATATGTTGTATAATTCTTTAAGCATGTTAATTATAAAAAATATATTGAATGAACCATATTCTATAAGAATAAAATCGAATATATATTTACTAGTTTATGTTGGCTCTCTATCATTCTGACAGAATAAAATCGGTTAGTATTAGAAATTATAATAGAATTAAATTTGAATTAATTTAAAAAATTCAGATTTAAAAAAAAAGGAAATTAATTATCCCTTAAAATCCGGAATTTCCTTTTTTAATATAGGTTAATTAACCAAAACACCATTCTGTTGAAATTTGTGTGATTATATGGTATATGTTACCCTATTGTAATACCGTAGACCCTCAGATCATGTCAATTGATTTTATTCATTGATTGGTCCAGAATTGTACTTACGGGCACACAATAGATGTAAGAAAACAAAATAACCTAGCCATATATATATATATATAGATATATAGATATATTATATATATATATATAGATATATATAGCTAGGTTCATTTGTCTAAACTAAGTATTGTGTTATCGTATGCATAAATGTGGGCCAATCAAAATTAAATAAAAAATTATATAATTATATAAATAAATAAGGGTAATTTAGTAATTTGTTTAGTAACTTCCAAAATTAATCCCTATAATCATGGTATTGACCTAATCTCTCCAATTTAAATCATGGACTACAAAACCGACTATCACCGGCGTTTTCTTTCTTTTCTTTCTGGCCCGATCAGCAGCCACACGAATGGGGAAGGCAAAGAAGATCGCTGATCTCCAAGGGGGTGTTTTAGGTGGTTTAATCGACTGAATCGGATGGAGAGGAGGGTGAAGCGAGGGCAGCAAGGGTTGATTAGCAACTCTCCGCTTACTCTCTTCTGATTCTAATAGCGAGGGGTGAGACCAGAAGAGGGTCCGACGACAGGTGGGGATTCAATTGAATTTTGGGAATTAGGGTTTTTAGAAATTTGGATTGACAGAAATATGCAGCCAGAAATTTCAGAAGCAACCGCTATACAAAATATGACGAGGGTTCCTGGCAAGAGAAGTGGGCAAGAGAGGTAGGAATGAGATTCCGCATGAGATAATTAAGGTTAGTCGGGATGAAGAATCGACCACGAGAAGACCAAGTCAAATCAACTGGAATAGCTTTTGGGCCCTCATATCAGGTAATTGGTTATATTTTCTTGGTCTCATAGTAAGAAGTAAGAACCCTGTTTCAATTTGTAAGATTGAAAATGTTTTTGATGTTTTAGAATTGTACTTATAGTCTCCTATTCTGGATTATTTTCAGCCGGCTTCTTCAGGGAAGGGGAAGCCAACGAAGCTGCACAACAGGAAACATCAGATTGGATCTTTATACTTTGATATGAGATCTAAAGAGATGGAATTGGCAGAAAGGCGCTCAAAAGGGCTTTCTCACAAAAGCAGAAACACAAGCCAAGTATGGATGGTAATAAACTCATAATTTTTTTGTATGTTGCATGTTAATGTTGTGTCAATTTTTCTTCTACAAATGAAAAGCGTTGCAAAGATTTTTGCTTTGTTTTCTCAAGAGCTCGTCAATGTTTCTGAAATGGAATCATGAATTCCAATTCTATTGGAATGGAATCATGAATTCCAGTTCTGTTGGAATCTAAACTACAATTTGGTTTTGTTTTGACAGAAGTTGATGCTTGAAGAACGGACCGCAAATTTGAAAGTGATTCTAAGCATTCTCAGAGAATATTATTCTTACATGATTTGATTCATGACAGTTATTTTCGTTAAATGTATAATTTCATGGATGATCAAGGAAAGAGCTATTCTTCTGATAGAATAATATACAATAGAATGATAGAAGTATATGTAATAATATATTCTGCTAGAATATTAAGGTCGAATAATATACATAATTTTATTTGTTATTAGTGAGTATTTCATTGTCATAGACTATTATATAAAGTTTTTACTTTTTTAAGAATGTAATGAAAAATTTGAAGTTGTATCCAAAAATGTATTTATTAGTCGGTGTTGGCATTCGCATAGAATATCATTCTAATAGAAACATGTATACTGAAATTTGTAGAGAATCTGATTCTAACAGAATAAAATCGGGTTTAATTATAAAAATTACGTTATAATTAAAATTAAAGTAATTAAAAAAATTAGAATTTTAAAATCAAGAGAGTTAATTATCCCCAAAAATATGGAATTTTCCTTTTTTAAATTTATCTCGATTGTCTAAAATACCCTTAGAATGAAATTAGATGGTATTTTTCAATTATCTTTAATTTAATAATATATGTTAATCACTTTCTTTACATTAAGTAAAATGATTGGCCCACATTTATGCATACAATAACACAATAATTAGTGTAAATAAAATAACCTATATATATATATATATATATATATATATATATATATATATACACACACTTATACTTATACTACTTTATAATATATATATAATTGGAAGATCAAAAGTTTTAAGACTAAGTCTTAAAAACAAGGAGGTTGAATTTTGACCTTTAGATGAATTTAAATGGTGGAGATTGTGATCCATGTGAAAAAAAACATCCAATCAAAATGTAAGGGTTAAACAAACAAACATTCTCTTTCATTATATATACTAATGCTAATATGAATTATTATTACGTTCACTCTCTCTAAGAAACAAATTTCCACAAACCCTAATCACTCTCATTTCCTCTCTCTAGAAACCCTAACCGTCGGTTGCCGCAACAACACCACCGCCTAGCACCATTACATCACCGTCGTTCCTACTAAGCCCTATCAGTTAATCTTCGCTCCTTAAAACCTAACATTAAGTAACACCACATGTTGTCGTTTTCAAGCCGCCATACTCTTTTCCACTCTCAAGAACATCCGCTGCTTGACGTTGTTGTAGCTTAACCCGACTGAAGAACATCTACTGCTTGATGTTGTTTGTAAACAGTCGATCTCCCTCTTCCTCCTACTCTCTCTCTCTCTCTCTCTAAAAACCTTAAATCCGATTTTTGTTGATGTATTTGTAAGTTTTATATGCAGATCCATAACTGTTTGTCATGATGAAGAACATGGTGTATAGATTTAAAATAATATCTACATTTCAGATGTGTGTGTGTGTGTGTTTTTTAAATCTTGAGAGCAAGATGGTTATGATATCTGTTTGTTTTGTATAGGTTTTAAGGAAATGATTTCAGATGTATGTTGTTTGTAGTTGTTGTGAAAAAGTTTCAGATTTATAATGCATTTTTATTGATTTCGAAGTTTGTGTATAGATTAAAAAATATAAAGGTTTAGAAAAGTTGTAATAGTTTCATGTGTATAGTGTAAATCCAGTTTGTTTGTTGTTGCATCTCTATAGATCTTATTTTCGGATAAATTTCTTGATTGAGAAAAATATAAATACTGTTGTTCTTCTTGGTAATAGTTTATGTATCATTTTTCTATAGGGGTTGTGCTATAAGTACCCCCCTTATCCAAATTTACCCCCTTAAAATCAATCAAATCAATTTTTTGACATTTGAGTTGACATCATTTTTTTATTTTTTTTTCTTTTGTTGTTTTTTTTCCTCTTTTGTTTTTTTTTTGTTATTTTTAATTCTTTTTTATTTTTTATTATTATTATTATTATTATAAATATCGCACAAAATTTTAACATTCGGACGACATTATAAATTCGAACGGCTATATAAAATCGGTTATTAATATTTTTTTATATTTTAATATTAATATTATTATTTTTATTATTATTATAAATACGAACGACTATATAAAATCGTAAACATAGTATAGTGCTCAACTAAAATATTTCAATCCGCATAACGCACCACGCAATTGTAATACCGTACCAATTAATATCCGTAATTAATAGGGACAAACTTTGTTTTTGTTCCGATTTTATATAGTCATTCAAATTTATAATGCCCGATTTATAAAATTTTATTCGAAATTTATAATAATTATAATATTAATATTAAAATATAAAAAATATTTAAAAACAGACTTTATATAGCCGTTCGAATTTATAATTTCGTCCAAATGTTAAAATTTTGTGCAAAATAATAATAATAATAATAATAATAATAATAATAATAATAATAAATTAAAAAAGAATCAAAAACAACAAAAAAACAAAATAAGAAAAAAACAAAAAAAAAACAACAAAAAACAAAAAGTCAAATCAGTAGGTGGAATTGGAAAAAGAGGGGAGTACTTTAGAAAACCCCTTTCTATAGTAATATTGTTTTTGATTAAAGTGTTTGGTTAAGTAAAATAATAATAATAATCTACATGTTTTTGGCATTTTTCCTGGTACTCTAGCTATTCTTTCATAGATTATGTTCTTATTAGACTAAAACATTCAAAATATTGTATACATTGTTACAATGGAGTATGTATAATCTAAAAATGTATCTCTATAACAAATAATCATTCAAATTATTTTGTTAATTTTACATATCCCAAAATATTTAAAGGTGGTTTGTATTCTCACTATAATAATATACGTTATGTTAAAGTTATTAAAACAATGATATAAAATTAAAAGAAAAATTTGTTAAAAGAAAATTTTTAGTCTGACGAACGATGCATACGAACGTGACGTTGGTGATGTACGAAGTTTTTTATACCAATTTACTTATCAAAATTATAATTAAAAATTAATTAAAGAACCTTGATTTTTTTTTCTGTTATTATATTTACAAGGTTTTGAATTAGAGTTTTTATATTTAACTTATATTATAAAGTTACCAAGGTGTAAAATAGAAGCATGCCTATTATATATTTTTTAATTTTTGTTGAAAGCTGTCATAAGCAAACAGACTATTAATTTACCTTTTCAAGGTAAAAATCTATCAAATCAAATACCATTGCCTATATGCCTATTATATATTTTTTATTTTTTGTTGAAAGCGTACAAAAATGTACAAAGGTCAAATGCAAGATCTATGTGGGAGGATATTCGAAAACATGAATTAACACTCATGGTAAACTATACAAATTATTAATAATGATTTTCTTTTTAAAAACATTATAAAAAGAGGTTTAAAATTTTCTAATATTTATATAGAATGGAAACTCACGATTAATCGAAAATACTAATCTTGAGGTCGGTAAACTTCAAAAGTGGTCATTAAAATTTATCAATTCTAATAGTTTCAACAGATTTTTTTTTTTAAAGATGATTATTTAAAAAGATTCAATATAAAATTTGTTTCTTTCAAAACGGTTAATTTAACTGAAATATATTAACACAAAGTTATTAACTAACTTTCATTTTTTTTTTTAATTTTTTATGGTCACTGGAATCATTGTCGAACGGAAATTACTCACCGAAATATATTTTAACTATGCGAATCTCCGCACGTTGCGCGAGAATAAAAATTATATAGTTAAAATAATAACTTTTACCAAATTATTATTTAATATTTCTACTTTGAAACAAAATGTTAGTAATAAAGCAAACATATAGTTAACATATTGATTTTATTAAACATTATAGTTTAATTTTTAAGTCATTATGATATATACAATTATTTGATAATTTTATAAACCTTTTAAAATTGTGTAAATTATATATCAAATGAATGATAATATAACGGGTAACAAAACATATGAACAAAAATATGAACTGTAACTTTTAGTAACATAAAAATAGAAAAACATCTATTATAATATTTGTATTAAAAAAGATATATATACAACGAATAATAAAAAATATGAAAAATAAACACTATAACTTTTAATAACATAAAAACATTAAAACATCTATTATAACATTTATATTAATTCTTCATATTTAAATCACAAATCTCTTCAAATACATTAATGTTTTTAATGAGCAAAACTTTACAACCTTATAAAAGAAAGGAAAATAAAAAGTTATTAGTTGATTACTAATTAATAATCATAAGTTAAAACTCTTGAGTTGTAACTAATAAATATACATAAATTAGAAAACTCTTGAGTTGTAGTGTGAGTTTCAAATGAATGCGGTACTTGGAAATGTATATTTATTATTATTATTATTATATTCGTCTAAATAATTGGTTTTGTGCATCATTTTAATCCCTTCAATTATTAAACATAAAGATATTTAATTATAAATTTATAACATACATAGGTGCATATACATGTTAAACAAATCACATATAATATATATATTTTCGTAAATGTCATATGTAATTCTTGTCGTACTAATATGGATAAATTACTTTCATATGAAGAACATATCATGATAAGTCTATCATAATTATATATCAAATGTTCAAAATTATGTTATCTTTTAAATATTGTCTTTTAAATATGTTGTGTAGGATAACCCAACAAAAAAATAATAGAAAATAAACATAATCAAAATAGAAAAACTACAATCAAATAAATAAGAGCATTGGGTGGTTGAATATATAAATAAAGATGTTACATAAACATACATTTAAATCAAAAGAAAAAACTAACATTCCTCAACTTTGCTCAAAC